TCCGTGTGCAATGGCATGTCTTCGGCTTTCTCTACATCCACATGTGCTGGCATATCCGGTGCATCACTTTCCTCCTCCGTCTCCGAGTACATCGATTCTGGTCTCTGTGCATCCAAAGGTGTTGGCGGAGACTCTGGTACATGATTGCTTTCATCAAAGAGTGAGTTCGTACCTTCCGGTGTAGTACCCTGGGGCAGGCGTCTCTTTGGCCCTCTAGCTCGACCCTTGGTCAAATGAGTGAGTGCGCCAGCTTGAGAACCTTCCACTCCTGAGCTGCTTTCCCCAGCACTGCCGAAAGAAGGACCTTTCATGGACCCGTTGATCGGTGCGGGCGGGCCACGGGACAAAAGGCCCGCTAAGGCAGGGTTTAATCGGCCTGCGAGTTTACTTTTAGCAGCAGGACCCTCGGTCTCAGCAGGTGCACTTGTAGCCTGCATCAAATCCCCCGGTGGCAGAGAACGCACCGGATTGATGCCCTCCTCCTTTACCTCTTCAGCGTTCACCTCTGCCCCGTCTGTCTTCTGCTCTTCGCATTCTCTCTCTTTTTCCGGAAGTTTTGGCTCAGCGGCCTCCTCGGCAGTATCATCAACGCCCGGCTTGGGTGGTTCTGGAGCGATTGGCGAACCTTGGAACTTTTCGAGGGGCTCAGCGCCGGCAGGGGACAGTGGCGATGCAACCTGGAAGCCATGCGTGCTTTTTGGTGTGCCCGGCTCTCTAGGCGAGAGCGGCGAAAGCGGCGACGAAGAATCGGCTGCTGAAAGATTGCTTTTGATACTGCTGGACTTGGTCAAATTGTTCCGCATTGCAATTGCTTCAGGTACAAATTTGCCGGGAGCATCCTTCTCCCCCGCAGTATTACGTCTCAGCGAACCCCCACTGGCTTTGATCGCTTCTTTTTGCTTCAGAATGCTGTCTTTCAATTCGTCCACTTTCTGCGACTTCTTTGGTCCGCCCGAGGAGTTCAGAGCTGCCTTGCCTTTGAGAATATTCTCTTTCAATTCGTCCGGCGGCACGTGTTTTGAGGACTCTGCTTTCTTCAGCCTTCCAAAGATATTCTTGAATTCCGGTTCCTCCCTGGGAGACTCATCCTTGACCACTTCCCTGCGTCGAAGGTTGGCTCTGAAGTCTATCACAGGAGACAGAGGCTTGGGCCGATTCAACAGCGGATCACGAGGGGATGCCAGGGGCGCATCGATAGTGGTCTTGGTTATCGGGCTTAGGTTAGATGGCGTACGCTTGTGTTTAGTAGCTCCATCTTCCGTTTTCTCGGGCTCAGCCTCTGTTTTGGTAGGCGACTCCTCTTTCGAAGGAGAGGCCTCTTCGGTCTTCTCTGCAGGTGGTAAAGTGCTATCCTGAGTATCTGCGCTTTCTGCGGTGGTTTCGGGTTCTGCTTCCTTTGTCTTCCCAGCATCTTGATTGGAAAATATGTCGGGGATGCCGGTGATACTGGAGGTCTTCGAGTGACCACCAGGAGCAGTAGTCCGCATAAGACCCACGGGTGTGACCTCTTTGAAGCTTGCGGTTCGACCCAAGTCAACGCTACCTTTTGATTGCCGATCCTTGACCCAAGAAGCCTGTTGAGAGGGCTGCCGCTTATGCCTAGGTGATTCATCGCGGTTCAAAGCACTCTCGAGCCAGGAAGCTTTGGTCGGGCTCCATCTCTTGGGATCCATCGTTCTCGAAACTGACGGGCTTGATGGTGGTAACGAGCCGGAGTCCGTGCTTTTTTCAACGCTGCTGGTAGAACGTGTATGCAGACTCAGGGAGGGTCTACGGTCCCCTTCATCTAGCCGCGCACCACTGCTGCCCGGAACGGGAGGTGTAGCTGGTCGTTCGCCATCTTTGACCGGATGAACGACAGTCGCTTCGCTATGGCTAGACCCGGGTCTGTGGCTAGAACCGGGCCTATGGCTGGAACCGGGTCGATGGCTAGAGGTCGGCCGCGAGGGCGAAAGACTTGCGCCATCCCTGCTCATTCTGTATGAAGGCGCAGTGGAGAAAACATCACTGCCGGAAGGAGCAGCGAAGCTGTTGCGGTTGCTAGAAATCGAATTACCTCGACTAAGCCCCGACGGCAGCTGAGCGCTCCAGCGTTTAGACACGCTATCTGATCGCTTCATCATGGCACTTTGCACGAATCCACCGAGCCCCTTGGTAGGAGACGTAGAACGCTCGGGGGACAAACGCCTAGGCGAGGGGGGTGATGATATCTGGTCATCTGCGCCGTCCTCCGTCTTTCGCGGCTCGAGTTTTTGCGCGCTCGTCAGAGGCAAAGGAGAGCCAAGCCCAGTGGCCGTCGACACAGAAGATATGCTCGAATACCGATTACCCAAACTACTCTCTGCAAACGTCGAGCTTGCCCTTGACGGAGACCGCGATCGCTCTTCCACGAGCTCGTGATTTTCTGCTTCCTTCGCCGACTCTGTGGGGTGCTCTTGGTTCGCCTCCGACTCCTTGACGCTAGTATCAGGGTGCAGAGGGTGCAATGAGTCTTCCTCTACCTGCTTTGCGCGGGTCGGAGACGGGCTCCCTCCCTCTGTGTGGCGGGACCATGGTACGTCCTTGAACGAAGGAGAAGACGCGAATGGGCTCCGAGATACCCCATGATCATCATTAGAGGTTGTGGACATGGCTCTGAAACGGCTCTCACGCGAGGGCGACGCGGAGAAGAAAGCCCTGCTGCTATCCCGAGACGTGGGTCTTTGTTGCCAGGAGAGAGTGCCGGCTCTGCTCCGGAAAGGTGAGATAGGTCTTGAAGACGTCTCTCCATCGTTTGCCGTCAGAGTAGACCCCCTCCGGCCATTGTCGGTGGATATCGATGCGTCATCTCGAACCGAATCAGCCCCGTTGCCAGTGTCATGCCCCGGGGTGTGAGGGGTAGGCTCGAGGTGTTCCGGGGGGTCAATCGCTCGCTGGCTGAAAGAAGACATGCTCAACCGAGCGGGATCTAATATCGGTGAATCTTTCGTGGGGGAAATCGACCGTGCCCGCTCTGTATTGGATCCCAAAAAACGGGACACAGTCAGCATTCCTGAAGATGACAGATTTGGAAAAGGACCAGCCAGCCGCCAGCCAACCGTGAGTCATGGCGACTAGGAATTTTCTGTTTGAAAGGGGGGGCGCCGGGTAAAAAAGCAAGGGAAATCAAATACCAGCTCTCCGAGCCTGTCTTTCCTTCCGACCCTGCAGAATTTCCTCCTCCAACTTCTTTGTGCGTTCCTCGTCCTCTTTATCGCGCTTCTCTCCTAATTCGCGGATGCGCAAAAGGAAGTCGTTGACATCCTCAGTGCCATCCGCGTCGGTTGTGGACGACATGGCCAGCTTGGCACTTGTTCAAGGAGCCCAAAAATTGGGTAAAGAAGAAAAAAAAAAAAGAGGGAACAGAATAGAAATGGTAAGTCAGAAAAAGAAAAGATGCCCTTTCAATCCGAATAAACACCGACAAAAAAAAAAAGCCCCCAGGAACGGTGGGGTGTTGACAAGAGGCACCAGACAGAAGAGGGGAGGGGGGGAAGAGAGGGGGGAATGATTTGATTGTTTGTGAACCAGAGGAGTTGGAGTAATCAGGAAGAGTGGAGGGAGTGTCACGGTTAGTGGTGGTGGTGGTGGTGGTGATTGAGCGACACTCTGGCTCTTGCCCACTTGAGTGACTTCTGTGACTGATTTGTGCCGGATCTGAGCCTTAGGAAGGGATAATCGTGTGTCTCCAGCTCATTGTTGTTGCTGTTGCTGCTGTTGTTGTTGTTGTCGTTGTCGGGTTTACTCCACCTTTCACCCTGGGCGATCCAGTGTGAAGGAAGGAATGGCAGCGAGAGCCGGGCAGCGTCTTTTTCGTTTCTAGTGGTGGATCCGTATCGACGGCCAGCTGAGCACCGTGAAGGCAAGAATAGTAATGCTCCTCCATCGTCAAATAAAACCCGGCGAAGGCACGCACATCAGCTGCCGCCCCACAGCCGGAAGCCCAGAGGAAATTAGGATGAGGCGCCCGACCGGATTGACACTTGCGCATCTCTCTCTTAACTTTCTCCCTCCCGGCACCAAATAGGCGAGATCAAAGGCCCATCCTGATGGGGTTTATCGTGTCACAAATCCCAAACAAAGAGAGATGGTTCGCTCGGATTCCCCCAAAGCTTCATCATCATCATCATCATCAGTTGACGACGGGGATGTTTGGAAGTTTCTCTACACGGAGAACTGTTTACTTATCCGGGTCCGGCTTTTGCGGTGGAGCAAATCTCAACTTTCTCTGCCGCCCCGCGATCGGATACGCAATCATTTTTTCCTGGCTGACCGGCCTACTGTCCAGTTTGTTCCCTTCTACTCGGGCAGCATTACTATCCTTGGGAACCTCGGTTGGGTCAAACTCGGCACACAAAGCTTGGTAACTTGGTGTGGAATCCACGGATGGATGGTCTTGAAGGGGAAGGGGGGAAAGAAAGGTGGATATGCGAAGATAAGCGGGAGCTTCTCAAGAGTCCCATCAACCACCCAGCAGGATCGGGTCTGACGACTTTAATTCCCCCTTCCACCCGGCGCAGGACTAGTATCGTGAGACACATTACTGGCGGCAATCCTTGCTGAAACCTCGTGGTTGACGTAAATCACGAGGCGAGGCGCTCCCCTAGTGGGAACTGGGAACACCGTTGCCTTTACCATGTTCGACAAGGGCCATCGTAGTGTAGTTCGTGGACCCTGAAGGCGATTTGTCTGATCGCCGTTCCGATACCCGACCAGGCACTAATAGTTGAGACAGGGGCTCTGCTAGTGGTGCTTGGTAGTACTCAACGGGCAGAATAAGTGCAAGCCAGCATAGTACTAGAATGTTGTCTCCCTTAAATTTACTATCGATATTCGTAGGTTAAGAGTTGGGTAATCAGGATACTATGAAGTTCGGTTATGAGTATGGATGCATTTACTCTTGTGATAATGTTGAATGCTAGTAATAATACTAAAAGTATTTATGTGGTCGAAACATCCATCGTGAAGAATATATAATTAGTGCTTTGGAAGAGCTGAGACAATCTCTACTATCACCAGCACCTTCGCCAACGAATCATCAGTTTTCATATCCATTAAATAGTAGAAACATGACTCCTGCCATTACTGTAAGACCATAAGTACGAAAATATATTGAAAAGGGAAACAAATAGCATATCGCGGTCATCAAAAGGTGCCGAGCAAGCCATAGACTTTCCACATCAGTTAGTACAGGAAAAGTCTATCTTTGGCGTCTTGGACAACCCATTCTAGCCCTTCATGCAGATTCTTGCCTGTCATCGCACTGCAGGGTAATATCGTCCATTTATGTGTTTTGATAGAATCCAAGCCAAGCCGCTGTTAACAAGAACATCAGTCAACAATCGCTGGAAGACACGACATGAAGAGCCCAAAGCGATAGAAGAAAAAAAAAGAGCGAAGAGTATGAACTTACTTGTCGAACCTCATTCTCATCCATACATCCCTCGACTTCGCTCTTATTTAAGAAAACCAAGAGACTTGCTCCCATCAAACGCTGCGTGACGGTTAGCCCGTGACTGGCAAAACTCTTCTTGGGCGGGCGCAGCGGTGCCGGCGGGGATAACAACGAACCTCTTCCAAAAGGAGTCCGGCGAGCTCATCTCTACAATCATCCACTCTAAGACGGTCGGTCGCATCAACAACCCAAATTAATGTATCTGTCTTCTCAAAGTAGTTTTTCCAATAAGATCGGAGGGTCTTTTGGCCTCCAACGTCCCCTAATGACAGGTTGTTAGTGGGGGCTGGGCGGTATCAGTGGTCGACATCCTTACATATGTTGAGTCTATATCTGCGTAGAAGTCAGCGAGTAATTCTGGTAGATAATCGAATTGAGATAGTCATACCCCTGAAAATCTATCGTCTTGATGATGAAACCTAATGTCGGACTGACAGTGGTGACATCTTCATTCATGATCTGCTTGACGATGGTGGTCTTCCCGGCATTGTCCAGACCTCTGTGGCCATTTGCTGTTAGTGAATGTATTCGTTAGCTGTAGGTATCACTGGGTGAGACTCACAGCATCAGGATTCGCATCTCCTTATCCTTCAGCCGGGCTTTCCTCAAAATGGACAACATCTTCACTGGACTTTCAATGTTATCGCAGTCTGTAGTTGGGGTAATTGAAGGGGAAAGAAAGATTGGACCAACGACAAGCTCGATATAGATCCCGCTCACGGTCGAATATACTACTACACCTCCTTCACATCACAGTAAGACATCATAGGCCATGTGTCCCATGCACAACCAATAACAACCCTAATGTAGTCCTACATTTTTGCGTAATAGCATTCCCAGTACTGGCTTTTCACCTTCTCACTTTCACAACAATAACAGGAAATGTGAGCAGAGTCATTCGCAGATATCAAATATTTGGAATAGCAATGCATTTCCTTCACATAGACATAACAGGCAACCACTTAATCCCAGCTGTACTAAGATTCACCATGTGCGCACAACGTAAAATTAGGGAGGTATCGATTCGTTAAATAGTGCGCACATCGCATGCGCTCCAGTATGTCTCTGTCCACAGGAGGACAGGAATCTCCTCATCCTTATCCGTGTTGTCACTTAACGACAGAGGCAATTTGAAAGATTAGAAGACAGCATCTCCTGTTTGGTTAGATAGGGTTCTGTGACTCAGTCTTTCCAGAGGCCCCTAGCAGCAATAAGTGCAATCAATGTCAAGTATAATCCTCCTCGCCTAACATGAACAAGCTTGGGAGAGGTGATGTGAGTGATACTAACCTACCTCACTGTTAGAGATGTCACGAGAAAATGATTATGACTATGACAGCCCAGACTTATGGGCGCGAATCAAATTGACACGTGATAGTGTATCAAGTGCTTCGATTTCCAATAAATACCGGTCTCCTGGATACCGGCCTTCGCAACGACGATGTGCCGAGAATAACAGTACCACTTCACCTCTGCGCAATCCGGTGAGTCCGAGTCAGGCTGATAAGATGCAAGCGACTGTTACCAGATCGACAAATAGCACTGCAGTCACCAGTAAAGCACACAAGGCGATCGCCACGGCGATTCCCAAGTGCTTTAAAGCACCTGAGCCAGTTGTGGCCACTAGCCGATCGCCTTTACATGAAAACAAACCCCCCTCATCACCCAGATTCTCTTCCAAAATCACTGTCAAGTTACCTGAGCCACTGAGCAGATTGTGTGACAGTTCTCACGTATTGCCATCCAGATCTACACCATCCCCCTACATCCCAGCACACATAAGACAACATCAATATCGGTATCCCGACCAGCGCATCCTCCCTAGAAACAAAGGAGACCTAGGGACTGAACAGAAGAACCCGAGAAACACTGCACGTCCTTCTCACCCTCCTCTCACCTCACACGCCGCAAAAGCACGTCAGAGGCCAAGTCAGTTAACATTCACTCGAAATACTTCGTCTGACTCGCCACATCGGCTTGCTCTACCTGGTAAGCGATGAATGCCGCTTCCTCAGTCGTGACCATGGAATGTGCTAACTGACACCTGAGAAGCTAATAAGGGGAAAATGTCGTCCAGTGGTGACTCAGACTATGTCGTTCTGCGCAATCCCAGAGCTGAAACATTGCAGCCTCAAGATCAGGATGCTCCAGGACAGACTGGAATAGAGGCCGGTGGCGGTACCCCTCTTGGGGGCAGCATTCACCAGCCAGCGCGGGAACCTTCCGAGGAGAAGCAGCCTACTACCCGTGCTGAGCTGCGAGCAGAGATCAAAAGATTACAAAAGGAGGAACTTGCGAAGATTTATCAAAATCTATACAAGGAGGAGGTCGAAACGGCTGATGCTGAAGTATTAGCTAAATGCCGGGACGGCCCAGGCGTGGACCCAAAGTCGGAGGTCTATAAGGAAATCGAGGGATATCGACGTCTGCGTCCAATGGAAGAAGTCGACTTGAACGTCGCGGCTCTCTCTATAGTCAATGACCTGGATGACAAACCAGAGGATGACCGCCTCGATAACCTCGAGCAGATTCGTAACAGCTTCGTCGACGGCGATCGTCTGGCTCCACTGTGGGATGCATACGAAAGGCAGACTTTCATTTACCCTAACGTCATTAACAACCAAGTGACACTATCTCCTAAGCCGACTGAGGCGCAGACCACCTTGCAAGCGAAGTTTCAGAAACCAGATGCCCATCCGTATGCCTCGCGAGGTAAGCCCCCTACTTTCCCACCCAGCGCATATCAGAAATGGCGAAAGTATGACCACTTGTGTGATTGGTGGTGGGCACCTCCTATGCTTCCGTTTTACGATGTATGGCTTCAGAGATTCCGTTCTTGGCTCGATGAGACAATTCAGGATGCCTACTACGCAGACATTTTTCACAAGGGCTACTTTGATGGTACCGCCCATCCAGATGGTGTTAGAACCTTTATCGTCCCAAATCTACCAAAGGCCACCACAATCCTCAATCCCAACGATGAGCTAGCTCATAGACACAGACACGAGACGGCAGCAGGTCTCAGCTACAACTATGTCATGCACAAAAAAGCCGAAGCAGAGCTAGAGGAGCAGAGACTAGCTTTATCGCGCCGCATGCAACTTGAATGCATGGCCACCTTGCCACCAAATCCCAACACGCCAAGGGCGAACATTTATCTCAGACCGGCACACGTAGGAGACGCCAATCAACTCCTCCACATTTACAACTGGTACGCCCAGAATTCCTTCGTGAGCGTTGACATCGGAAAGTTGGAGCCAGGAGACATCCGGCAGCGCATCCAAGCCGCCAAAGAGGCCCGCCTTCCCTTTATCGTTGCCGTGGAGCGCGGTTCGGGCAACCAGAGAGAGAATATCTTTGGCTACGCTACTGCTAAAGACTACACCGGATCGGAAACCAGTGGAAGATACACCGCTGAGTTGGAGTTATTCGTCATTCCAGAGCAACAGCGCAAAGGCATCGGAAATTGTCTTATGGACAAGCTCTTGCAGGTATGTGATGGAAATCACAGAACCAAGGGCGGTTATGATTTCTACAACCATGGTCTCATTGGGTACAGCCTGGGCGGACGTCGCGAGTTCGCTCGGCTGATATTCACGTTTACATACATTCCCGAGGAACGCCAGTCGAAGAGCTGGGTCCGGGATTGGCTGGCGAAGAATAACTTCGAACTACAAGGACGCTTGTGCGGAGTCCGCGCAAAGAACGAAAGACTGTAAGTGTTTATCCTGCTTCACTAGGATAAGGATGATGATCAGCATTCAAACTGACTGACAACGATTCTAGTCTTGACGTTGCGTACTTTGTTAAGAATAATATCTTCGCTCTTCCATACCGATAGTCAGGTCCGGTCCGTTCCTTACTTTATTTTCTTATGTGATTCTTTTCCTTTGTGACATTCTCAATGCAACAAGGATCCCTGCAGGACCTTGATAATGATCAATCTTACGACCAGTTTATGCGAACAAACCTATGTGTTCGAACACGAAAATACAACAAAAACACAAAAGCATCTGTAATAACACCAAAAAAAAAGGATAAAAAGTGCACAAAAGAGGAAAGCCGACGTACCATAAGCGGCGCCGGACGTCAGTTTACAGTGTATCAAATATCTACGAGCATGCAGATTTGAGCCTTCTTACTTAGTGACTTAATCAAATTGAAATTGAAATCTTGCTACTTGTAACATGTACCCAATGCATAGCTAGTTAGACCTATCTACTACAGTAGTAGTAGATAGAAATCTAAGGGAGTGGATCCCATATCGATAACCGATGCACCAATCACCACCTCCACGACACCAGTAAGCACAACATTCTGCCATCGCAAACGGCCTCCACCGCCTTCGAAATTTGAACTTTTTTCTCCATCTTTATCCCGATACCAACATACATAAAACATACCCATTGAATTGGAACATAAGGGAGGAGTGTGTAACATTTTTCTCCTCTATTTCTTCTCTATTTCTATTTTTACCTTGGATTATTGTCTTCGGTGACATTCACGGAACCACACATCCACAGAAAAAACAAGGGAAGAAATCTCGCATTCCCTGCCACACGCCAACCATGGCCGGAACGAAAAAGCGCGCGAACGCCGACGACGACTTCGTGCTCACATTGTCGGATGACGAGAACGATACGTTAAATCAGTTTGAAGAGGAGGGTGAGGGCGACGATGGTGCGCTAGCCTCTGGGTCGAAAACGAAGAAGCGCAAGAGAGATGATGCTGCGGCGGCGCAGCAGGAGAAGGGGAAGAATAAGAAGGTGAAGAAGCAGGAACAACAGCAGCAGCAAAAACAGCAGAAGAAGCAAGGGAAGAAGGGGAAGAATGTACCTGTTGAGGAGGAGGAAGTGGATGAAGAGGAAGAAGAGGAGGAAGAAGAGAATCAGGGTGAAGATGACGGCGCGCTTAATTCGGATTTTGAGTTTGATGTCGGCGGAGCTGCGACTGAGGTTAGGGATTTCGATGGTTGGGAGATTAATGGTAATGAGGATGGTAAGGGTGGGGATAAGAAGGCTGTCGACATTGATGATATTATCTCGAGGAGGCAGGCGAAGAAGGAGGCTGAGTTGATTCGCAAGCAGAAGAAGAAGCAGAAGGAGGCGGAGGAGTTTAGTGAATTGGAGGATGATGGTGATGATGAGGAGGATGGAGGTATGGAGGTCGACTTTGAGGATGATGAGCTGCTTGCGGAGGATGGGTTCGGTATGGGTGTTGATGGTGAGGCGGAGGAGAGCGACAAGTCCGATGCGGAGGACGAGGAGAAGGAACAAGGGTCTGATGAGGAGGCCGAGGGCAGTGATGACGACGAGGACATGGACGAGGATGATGATGCTGCTTCGGATAACGACTCGGTTGCCACCCCTGTTCAGCACCCTGATGATGTTGCCTCTGACCGGGACTCGGACGACGAGAGTCAGGTCGACGCCGAGGAGGAGGAGAAGCGCAAGGCTTTCTTCGCCCCTGAGGAGGAGAAGACTTCGGAGTCTGCTATGGCAGATGCGAAGCGCTCGTTCCAGGAATTCAACCTCTCTCGTCCCATTCTTCGTGGTCTCGCCGGCGTCAACTTCTCGAACCCTACACCCATCCAGCGCAAGACGATCCCTGTGGCTCTCCTGGGTAAGGATATTGTCGGTAGTGCCGTTACTGGTTCCGGAAAGACTGCCGCCTTCGTTGTCCCTATTCTCGAACGTCTGCTGTTCCGCCCACGCAAGGTCCCGACGAGTCGCGTTGCCATCCTGATGCCCACCCGTGAATTGGCGGTGCAGTGCTACAATGTCGCTACGAAGCTGGCGACGTACACGGACATCACCTTCTGTCAGCTGGTCGGTGGTTTCAGTCTTCGCGAGCAGGAGAACATCCTGAAGAAGCGTCCCGACGTGATCATCGCCACCCCCGGTCGTTTCATTGATCACATGCGCAACTCGGCCAGTTTCACTGTTGATACTCTGGAAATTCTGGTTCTGGATGAAGCCGATCGCATGCTCGAGGACGGTTTCGCCGACGAGTTGAACGAGATTCTCACTACCATCCCCAAGTCGCGCCAGACCATGCTTTTCTCTGCTACGATGACGGACACCGTCGACAAGCTTATCCGCGTCGGTCTCAACCGCCCTGTGCGCCTGATGGTCGACGCCAAGAAGAACACCGCCGTGACACTGGTGCAGGAGTTCGTGCGTCTGCGTCCTGGACGTGAGGACAAGCGACTGGGCTACCTTCTTTACCTCTGCAAGGAGATCTACACTGGTCGGGTGATTGTCTTCTTCCGACAGAAGAAGGAGGCGCACCGGGTGCGGATTATCTTCGGACTGCTGGGCTTGAAGGCTGCCGAACTCCACGGTAGCATGAGCCAAGAACAGGTATGTTGCTTTACTTCGGTCTCTATCCCCTGATATGATCGATGATACTAACTTGGGTGTTTTCCTACTACAGCGTATTAAGAGTGTCGAGAACTTCCGTGAGGGCAAGGCGGCGTTCCTCCTGGCTACCGATCTGGCATCTCGTGGTCTGGATATCAAGGGTGTGGAGACAGTCATCAACTACGAGGCGCCGCAGAGCCACGAGATCTACCTGCATCGTGTTGGTCGTACAGCGCGTGCGGGCCGCTCCGGTCGGGCATGCACCATTGCCGCCGAGCCTGACCGTAAGGTGGTCAAGGCGGCGGTGAAGGCGGGCAAGTCGCAAGGAGCCAAGATCGCCAGTCGGGTGATTGAACCGGCGGTGGCGGATTCCTGGGCGGCCAAGGCGGAGGAGTTGGCGGAGGAGGTGGAGGAGGTGTTGTCGGAGGAGAAGCTCGAGAAGCAGCTGGCGCAGGCGGAGATGCAAGTGACCAAGGGAGAAAACTTGATCAAGCACGAGGCGGAGATCAAGTCGCGGCCGAAGCGTACGTGGTTCGAGACGGAGCGCGACAAGAAGGCGGCGCGGAAGCTGGGCGCGGCGGAGCTCAACGGGCCCGATGCCGGCCTGTCCAAGAAGGAGAAGCAGAAGCTCAGTAACAAGGACAAGAAGCGTCTGGACGACTCCCGCCAGCGCCAGGAAGCTGGTTCTGGCTGGAAGAAGGGTCGGGCCACACGGGAGAGCATGAAGAATGGGCAATTGCCTAAGGCTAAGAAGGACAACAAGAAGAAGGGCAAGAAATGAGGCGGACGGTGACGGGTCTGGACTCAAGGGTCCTAAAATAAAATTACTATTCGCATTAGCATATTGTGGATATACTGTATAGATATTTTCCAAATTTTCTGCTTAGACTATTTACGATCTTCTACATAGTATATTTTCCTTTTCCCCCTATTTCCTATTTCCTATTTAGTATGAATCTATTCCTCCTGGTTATTGGGATTTGGGACACATGGAGTCATAGTAGCGGCTGTCGACGGCTATTAACGGAGACAGCGGGGTGCCTGAAGGGCGGCGAGGGACTCCGGTGTCGGCGAGCCGAGCATCAAGAGAGGAGCGGAGAAGCCGATTGCCCTTGCATTTCATCCAACCAGCCAGCCGAGTTGATCATGGGTGGAGTGGGATTTCGTACCAAATTGCTAATTCTCGGCCGGTGATTGATTCGGGAAAAAAAAGGTAGACCCATTGAGTTGCCAGGGGAGGGTGCAATAATTCTTAGTATAGTTTACTTTGTTGTATGTAACATGATGGGAGAGAAGTTGAATGAAGAGAGGGGACACTGGGCTGGTACCAAATCAGAAGGCGATCCGCCATCCGCTGTCGGCGCAAATTTCGAGGGCCAAAGGCGGCGAGCGTCATTCCATTTTGACTCATGGCGGCCACTCGCCCGTCGCCTTTAAATCCTACCCATTCTTCCTCTGCGTCACCGTTTTGTCTGGCTCCCCCCCGTTCCTGATTTCTTTTTAAGCTTCTCAACTTTTTCCTTCCTCATTGCAAGAATCACTCGTCTTGTCCTCTCTTCCTACGTGAGGTGATTCACACTACTAATATATCTACAACCTCTTCATCACCTCCTCCTCCTCCCCATATCTTCCACCCGCATTTCCTCTCCTCTCATTTCCCCGCTGCGGATCCTCCCGCTTCTCCTCCATCACCATGCCTATGTATGTGTCTCCCACTATTGCTGCATTTCCTCAATTGTGGTGGTGTCTGCGATAAACAGATGGTTTAATTGCGGTTGTCATTGCACGTCAATTGCTTCTCATCCATTGACTGACTCCTTCTTGTCTCTTCAGGCTCAAGGACCCCTCCCAGAAATACAAGCGCTTTCAGCCCCTCCATCTTCCCGACCGCCAATGGCCCAACAAGACCATCGACAACCCGCCCCGGTGGCTGGCCACCGATTTGCGTGATGGCAACCAGAGTCTGCCCGATCCTATGGTAAGTTTTTTACAGTGCTCAAAGGGGAAAGAAACACAAATAGCATAACCCGGCTGACCACTTCTTTCTTGTGAAACACACAGGATGGGCAACAAAAACTCCGCTTCTTCAAGATGCTCGTCGACATTGGCTACAAGGAAATCGAAGTCTCTTTTCCCTCTGCCTCCCAAACCGACTTCGACTTCACCCGTAGCCTGGTCGAGACCCCCGGTCTGTGCCCCGATGATGTCTGGCTTCAGGTCCTCTCCCCCTGCAGAGAAGATCTGATCCGTCGTACGGTCGATTCCCTGAAGGGTGCCAAGAAGGCTATTTTGCACATCTACCTGGCTACCAGCCCCTGCTTCCGTCGCATCGTTTTCAACATGGACAAGCAGAAGAGTTTGGAAATGGCCGTGCGCTGCACCAAGTATGCTCGCTCAATCACCAAGGATGACCCGTCGACTGCTGGAACCGAATGGCACTTTGAGTTCTCCCCCGAGACCTTCTCCGACACTGAGCCCGAGTTTGCTGCTCAAGTCTGTGAAGCCGTCAAGGCGGCGTGGGAGCCCACGGAGAAGGACCCCATCATCTTCAACTTGCCGGCCACGGTAGAGATGTCCACCCCCAACGTCTTCGCCGATCAGGTCGAGTACTTCTGCCGCAATGTCTCCGAGCGCGAGAAGTACGTCGTGTCCATCCACCCCCACAATGACCGTGGCTGCGCCATTGCCGCTGCCGAACTCGCCCAGATGGCCGGTGCCCAGCGTGTCGAAGGAACCCTGTTCGGAAACGGTGAGCGGACGGGTAACGTGGACCTGGTCACTTTGGCTCTGAACTTGTATACCCAGGGTATCTCCCCCAAGGTGGATTTCTCCGATATCAATGCAGTCATCAAGGTGGTCGAGGAAAGCAACAAGATCCCCGTCAACGAGAGATGGCCCTATGGTGGCCAGCTGGTCGTCTGCGCCTTCAGTGGCAGTCACCAGGATGCCATCAAGAAGGGATTCAAGCTGCGCGAGACCGCCGGCCCCGAATCCAAGTGGGAAATCCCCTACCTTCCCTTGGACCCCGAGGACATTGGCCGGAACTACGAGGCCGTCATCCGTGTCAACTCCCAGAGTGGCAAGGGTGGTGCCGCCTGGGTTATCTTGCGCAGTCTGGAGCTGGATCTCCCGCGCGCCCTGCAGGTCGAGTTCAGCAAGATCGTGCAGCGCAGAACCGAAGAAGTCAGCCGCGAGTTGCGTCCCTCCGAAGTCGTCGAGCTCTTCCAGGAGGCCTACCACCTCAAGTCCAACCCTCGCTTCAACCTGGTCGACTACAACATCACCACGGATCGTTCGCAGTCGCCTGCGCCTACCGAGCCCGGCAAAGCCCTCAACACCAAGAACCTCAAGCGTCGCTTCACCGGTGTCATCGAAATCGACGGCATCCAGCACGCCATCACCGGTGTCGGTCCCGGTGCCATCTCCTCCCTGGCCCACGCCCTGGCCACTCTGGGCATCGATCTCGACGTCGTCGACTACAAGGAGCACTCCATCGGTCTGGGTCGTGATGTCAAGGCTGCGACATACATCCAGTGCACTGCGGCAGGCAGCAAGGAACAAGTCTGGGGTGTTGGTATCCACCAGGATGTGGTCCAGGCCAGTTTGATTGCCCTGCTCAGCGCCGCCAGCTCCGTATGTTGTCCCCCATCCTCTCGTTTCATCTCTCATGATTCACATTCACTAACATTACTCTCTAAATAGTTCCTTACCAGCCGCTCCGGCTCCCCCGCTCCCTTCCGCCCCATCCGCTCCAACACCCTCACCGACGACGACCTTCAAGCTCTGGAAATGCTGAACGGCCCCAACAAGCCCAAGGTTGACATCGAAGCTCTGACCCAGCAGGCCGAGAGCCAGTAAATCGTTCATCCCACATTAGCTAGCATTTACCGGTTTCGCCTATCGTCGTCGTCTTCTTCTTCTACTTGCATTATATCTCGGGTCCCTTTTTTTTTTTGGATTTTATTTTCTTCCAATATGTTTCTTCTCGGGGTTATTGGGAAGAGAAAAGTACGAAAATTGTGTTTTGTCAAGGAAAGACGTATATACGAAGATGGGGTGGAAATAAAGTGAAGGAGGAAAAAAGAAGGAAAGAAAGAAAGGAAGAATTCTGCTTCGATTTGTACAGATTTAGGAATGACGTGATATGAATCTATTATTTAATTTTAAATTGCTTATGGTGGCATACATAGTAATACTTCCGTCTCTTCCCTTGTCGCATTTGCTTCTCGTACAATATTGGACCTTTAGTGGTAGTAGTGAAAGAGTTCAGTCATCACAGAGAAACAGTAGGGGACTACTGTCTAGTATCAATAAATCATAAAATACTATCATACTTCTTCTGGACAGGAAGACGGCATGAATATATCTATATAGGATGATATTGTAAGAAGAGCTAAGCTACTACTGCAAGCATGCCTATATGATAATTGTAAAATGCGAATGGGGATGCGGGGGGTATGTATGTACAAAAAAAAAAAAAAAAAAACCACAAACACATTTTGCATATCAGTCATCATAGATGGGAGGGAGAGGGGGAGATAGGGACGACATATAGGCAGGTATATAGATAGCCATTTTCTACCTCTTATAGAAAAAGGGAATAAAATGCATGGGTTGCAGAACAAGACAAAAAGGTAGAGACTGTGTATGAAGGGGGAGACTTTGAGAAAAGGGAGGTCATGCAAACGTGTAGCCGTGATTTTCTTTTTATCGGGGCTATGCAAAAAGGAGACAAGCAGATAATAGGGAAATGGAGAAGATGATCAAAGAAAATGGAATGCTAATCTTACTTCACCCTTGCTTATTAGGCACCAGGGAGCTTTTAGGTGGTGTGTGCTTTTGTTGATGCTGCTGCTGCTCATCAAGTATGTATGTACTAAATTTGGTTGCGGTGGAGGCCGTGGGCATCATCGTATCCCAGATTGGCCTGGTACATGAGAGCTTCTTGGGGCCAGTCGCCGGTACTTCCCTCCATTGGATCTGCGAGGGGTGTGCGGTTGTAAGAGTCGGTCCGAACAGGATAGCTTCCGTTGCTTGGGGCGCGTTGCGGCGCATCGTGAGCTGGGACATTGGTTCGGTAGGGGAGGCTCTCGGGCATAGGACCGTGGCCAGCAGGCTCGGTCAGTGATCCTGCTGTGGCCGAGTTGGCAAAGTCACCAAAGTCGAAGCCAAAGTCGGGGTTGCTGATGGTGGTGGGAAGTTCTTTCCGTGGCACAGCGGGAGACCCGTTCGTTGAGGCGCTGGTCGGCCGGGCTGGCTCTGCGATGTGCGGGACGGAAGGCATACCACCTTCGGGCAGGGTGCCGGTAGGACTGTGGATGCTTGGCTCAGGGATAGGGGGATAAGATCCCATTGTCGCTTCGGAATGTTCGACCAGGACTGGAGCCGGGGAGCGAGGCATGAGATCAGGATCCGGTACGACGGTGGATCGCCGAGTGCTGTTGCCCATGGTACTTCCAGGTTTCGAGCTGCGGCTGACACGGTGCTGAGGAGCTTCAGCAAATGGGTGCTCGGGGCCCTCTCCGTCACGGATGCTAAACTGAGCAATGGTCCGCAGCTTCCGAGTAACCCATGACGCCAACACCTTCCCACGTTGTTTCTCACCGAGACGGGACCGAGGGAAGTCTCCGTGTGAAACAAATGCCACGATATCAGCGATGACCTGGTGCTCGTTGAGGATGGCGTCGACAATCACAGGGACCAAAGACGCTAGATAAGCCTTTCTCGTAACCTCGACAACGACCACGATCAAGCCTCCAGCTTGGAAGACAGCACTAAATAGACATATTAGTAACAGGCATTTGAGAGTCGAGTAAGGCCAAAACTTACCACCCCCCAGATACAATATTGCGGTGGCATCGCTCCACAGAGTATTCGATGTCCATCGGGAAATGATTCAGACCATTA